AGAAGAAGAAGAAGAAGAAGAAGAAGAAGAAGAAGAAGAAGAAGGAGACGAAGAAGAAGAAGAAGAAGAAGAAGAAGAAGAAGAAGAAGAAGAAGAAGAAGAAGAAGCGGAAGAAGAAGGAGACGAAGAAGAAGAAGAAGAAGAAGAAGAAGAAGAAGAAGAAGAAGAAGAAGAAGAAGAAGAAGAAGGAGACGGAGGAGACGAAAAAGACAACGGACAAGAAGAAGAAGAAGAAGAAGAAGAAGAAGAAGAAGAAGAAGAAGAAGAAGAAGAAGAAGACAATGAAGAAGAAGAAGAAGAAGAAGAAGAAGAAGAAGAAGAAGAAGAAGAAGAAGAAGAAGAAAGAAGACGAAGAAGACGACGAAGAAGAAGAAGCAGAAGAAGAAGATGACAGGGAAAGAAGACAACAACGGAGAAGAAGAAGAAGAAGAAGAAGAAGAAGAAGAAGAAGAACGAGACGACGACGACGACGAAGAAGAAGAAGAAGAATTGGTCATAGCGTCTACTCAACTAAGGCCTGGACTTCGACGATCGCTTGTTTGTCATCACACTGTTAACAGCCCAAGGTTTATTTACCCACCTTCACAGGTCATCCGTTTCTTTTTTTTTTTAATTCCCCCCTCCCATGCTCATATTCTCTGTATTGTTCCAATTTTGACAGATGTCCTGAAGGACACACCAGGTCATCATCCATGTATCAAGTATCCCTATTGGCATTTACACACGCCTCCAGGGAGACCCAAATGCATGCTGATAAGGGGTCTCGCTACACCCCTCGCCAAACCCCAACATTCTCATTGCATCTCAAGATTCTCAACCCAAAAATGTTACAATCGCAGGAACCACGCCCATAATCCGTTCCAGATACAGTTTCAGAAATAAAACCAACCAACTGGCCTATAGCTCAGTTGGTACACAGTACTACACCACTACACACCCGTGAACTGTTAAAAATTAAAATACAGACCTGAGTTCGATTCCAGAGTAATCCGTCGTAGATACAGTTTCAGAAATACCTGCAGCCAGAGTTGCAATAAAACCAACTGGCCTATATAGCTCAGTTGGTACACCCATGGACAGTTAAAATACAGACCTCAGTTCTATTCCAGATGGAGTCAATTGAGTAAAACAATTCTGAATTTACCTGCGAGCGGTCAGGTTGACGATAACATATCTCAAGGCCGTCGTTCTTTCGCCTAACAAAAAAAAAAAAGAAAAAAAAAAAAGAGAGTAATTAATGGGCGCTTGCGGTCTCTAGATAAGGATGGATTCTAGCTGCCATCGTAGATTCCTTCATTTACATTTTCTTGTTACATTCCTCCTGAGAGCATCTGGCCAGGTTTTGTGACGTTCATCCTGGGCGCATCTGCCCAGCACCGCTCCTCTAACCTGTGAGCAACCGAGGTGACCCGCGCGGCCCGGTTGGTAATGCAGATTCCGTGAAAAAAAAAAAAAATTGCAATTCAATTAACTCAGTATCACTGACAAAGAGTACCGTCTTTTCACCCGAATACAACGCCCTGTCAGTATCACTGTATCAAGACTGAAACCCATGGAATCGTGGGCAGGCCCGACACGGCGTGCCAAAGTAGTGCGAGCAACAAACACACTGCTACAAAATGGCGATCGCATAACAATGAGCCAAAGACGCCACCCCTTACCGTCTTCACCCGAATAGAACGACCGGTCGTTATAGCAGTATTTGGGGCTCTTTTCAGCCTAGATACGGCAATAATGACCGGGTATTCTATTCGAGTGAAGACGGTAGTCTCAGAATCACTGACAAAGACTACCGTCTTCACCCGAATAGAACCCCCTGTCAGTATCACTGTATCAAGACTGGAAGTTGCCCCAAATACAGATATGACAACCAGTCATCGTATTTGGGCGACGAAAGGTAGCAGTCTCAGAACCAGCTTGTGACATTTTCCAGAGTTGATTGATTTTGCACTAACAAGGTGAATAATAAACACGGAAAAGAAAGAAGGGAAGAAAAAAAAAAGCACATCTCTTACATTCATGGTGTCGGCAATCGCATAAGCTTCCGTCTCGAAACCGATACTCTCTCGCTGATCATTCTGCAATTAGCAAAAATGAAAACCCCACACACAAGGTAAGTATGGGCCTCGCTCCACCGCAGAACACCTTTGTATGTATCTGAACGCAGCTCACAGTCGTCCCAATACATTCAAAATGTTCGACTCGACCAAATGCACTTGGTCCAGAAAACGTCCAAATGCATGTTGAAGGTTGACCAGTGGACGGAGTCCCTATCTCATGCCAAGCCGCACTTCTGCTTTCCCTGACAAAGCCACAATAGATCAGACATATATCGATTTGCCTGCCATGTTCTCCCTCTTCCCTCTTCCTTCTGTCCTTCCACAGGGGAAGGACATGTCTATAGTCTTCCTCAGAACATAACGCATATGCCTTGTATTTGAGTTTTCAAAAACAAATCGATGATTCGAATAGAACGCATGTGTGTTAAAAAGAAGAAAAAAAAGTTGTTCAGTTTATAAAAACTTTATATATATTGTCACATAACTATGAACTAAAAGAGTGCACTTTGCGAAACAAACGGCAGACAAGACAAACATGAAGGGCACACTGAAACCATTCATTTTTCTCATTCTTCTTTTAACTCCCCCTTCACCGTGCCTCTCACGTACAAGGCTCGCCACGTTGATGAAGTTAAGCGTGAGCTGCCCCCATCCCCATGTACCATAACAGTACGCTGTGAGAAAGAGGCAGAGTGAAGAAGGGGGAGGGGATAAACACAGGGAGAAGAGATGCAGAGCAGACAAACAAAGAACGATAAAGTGAAAGTAAGGGAAATTACGGAGTGTGGAGGCTCAAGAACGAGTCTGTCCTTGACAATAGAGAGGACGTATATTATAAGGATGAGGTGGATGAACACATGGAAGACCTAGCTGCGCATTCGCAGTGCAACAATTGCCACGACAGCTGGCATTGAGCATGCCTATATTTTATTTTACATTTGGTAAAGAACTCGATGAGACCCTGAGACAAAAAGTTGTTCACTTTATTTTTGAATAATTTTCT